GACTGCTTAATTATGAAGTGAAAAAAAAAATTGCTTCATTTTTGATAATTCCATCGGGATAAAACCGAAAAGAGAAACAAAGCAATCAACATGACAATTTTCTTAGACTGAAACATGACGGCCGAGAACTTGATTGCAAGAAATGAAAATGTCGTTGGCCACGAATACTCTTCATAAAGACCTCATTCCGCGCGGCCTAAAAATAGCTATCTTCGAATAAAATGAAAATAACGAGCATTTAAAGCAAAAAGGACAACAAAGGTAGACAACACAATACCAGTATTAAAGAGAGAGAGTTTTGATTACACTGTTTTAGTCCGTAAAGCCCTAGGCAATACGCTCTAAAACATCAGAATAGCTCTTACAATAAGCAAGGTAATGGGGAAATAACGAAGATCGAAGTTTATAACGAAGAAAAGTTGGGAGAAAATGGTCATGACGAGTTTCTATTTCGTTAGGAAAACATTAGGAGTTTGGTACTTACCTGTGAAAAAAAATCGCTCTTTGGATGGTGGAGGAATTCTGTATTTCAATATAAATGCCTCGGTTTTGGGAGGTTTGCGTGATCTTTGTCGCAGCTTCAAATTTGAAAACCGTCTGTAGAAAACCACTGCTTGATTGGCTGGCAACTTCGGAAAATTAGGGCGTTTTAGGAAAAATACTCGCCTTTTTTAGCTGAAATGGTTGGAAGTTTGCTGGACTCCTCTGCTTGCTCCCTGCCTCGCAGTGTTCAGCTATTGAAGTTGTTCAACAAAGAGTATAATATATTCCTGTCTAAAAATTGCCTATTTGTCTCTGTGCTAGAGAAGGGAGTAGGCACAATTCTTACGCGAGAGGCAGGTATCGCGGCGGTGGCACCAGTCAAACACAAAGGGAATTCAACCATTGAAACAACTGGCATTGAAAAGAAATAATTTTCCACGTAAACATTGACTTAGGTGCAGTGAAAAAGCCTTTTGAAAGAGGAAAATCTGTAAACGACTGTGTTTAACCATATGCCATCTACAGAAGAGTCACTGAACAGAAGCCATTCGAAAGCTCATCAAAAGAACGCGTTCATGAAAGAATTTAGATGAAACGCAACATTCATCCAGCCACTGAACGTATCCCCTGAAAAAACCCTAGATTAAACGCTTGAAAGTATGAAACTAACGAAGGATTGTCGCCTGTTAAAGCTGCTAAGGACTGCGTAACACTTCTTGGCACAATCAGAGAACTGAAACAAAATCACTCCAGGACACAAAAGAAGTCTTGGATTTTCACAACTGAATAAATCTATCTAAAGATTCGAGGTATTTGAAAGACAGTGTTACGAGATAATTTCGCTTCAATGTCACTTAAGTACTGTTCTTTAGTGCTTAACTTTATTTCACATTGACGCGTAAATTGAGAGTGAGCGAATTAGAAAAGAGCAGAAGTTATTGATACGAGCGCGAGGCAAAGCAAATAAGGTGGCTTATTTACAGGTAATGCACTCTTTATATTGAAATAATTTCGCAGGGAAAATTCTCAGATGGTGTTTTCCTTTAGAATTGAATTGCGGGTCAAAACAAACTAAAGGCTGAAAGTGGAAGTGTAGTTTAAAATTGAGTTTTGTATGTACAAGTTACGAAAGAGTAATTATATACCTGTAAAGGAAAGAAAACACAAGGACGTTTTACCTGTATTGTTGCCTTAGGGAAGCATCAAAAGATATAAACAACAGTGAAGCTAATAATCTCACGTACTGATGTAAAGAATTATCTGTCGCCTTCAGATAAAGCATTTGCTAGGTCTCTCAAGAAAACATCGTGTTGGAAACTGAAAGGGAAATGTTAAAGATCAACATTTGCTTTAAATATGTATGGGTCATTACGTCGTTTGCCTTGAATGAGAGCGCAAAACACTTGTGTAGTATGAAAAAGAGAGACAATTTCTCACCTGAAAGGAGCGAAATGAATAACGTGTAAAACTGAATAATGGCTCTGTTTTACTTTCCTTGTCACCAAGGACGGTATGTGCAGGACTTCTTTCGACACATTCGTAAAGAGGCAAGAAACATTCCTCTTTGCTAAATGTTGGATTTGTGAACCTCTATTTGATTCAAGTAATTTTAGCTCTGAAAATTCAGCAGTAAGAAAAGATATCACAAGCAGTACAACGAATAAAGAATTCAATGTTTTAACAACCAGTTTTTGAATGAGAATAGCCTTGCGAAAATGACTTTGAAAGGCACAATAGTTCATTTAATGAAATATATAATGTAAGGAAAGTTAAGTTACACAACTTTTCCGGTGTAGAATTAGGTAAAGAATCGTACGAGGAAACTTAAAGTACTTTTGCTCTGAATTCCGTCTATCTGTATTCAAACTTTTTGCAAGTAATACAAATGAAAATCTCGGTTTAGTATGGCTAAAATGAAACCACTCAAGATGGCGTCCTGGACTACATTACACTGTTGAAAATAAGAACTTAAAATCTTTACTGACATCGAAAAGTATAAAATATGTTCTGCATAGATTTGTCTTCTGGTGCATTCTCTCTGGGAATCTTAAGTCCACCTGAATACAGGAGAGCGCGAGAGAAACAAGTTCTGTTAAGACTCAATCAAGATTCTAACAATTATCTTCGTTACTCATTGTTCTTTGCAGTAAAAGGACTAAAGTACACAGTACTGACAAGAAATGTTAGTATTAAATCGTTATTTTAACGGTTCTCGCTTGGCTAGATCTTATTTCAGAACGCTGGCTTGCTTAGTTTTGAAATAAACTCGCAAAGACATAGACTGGAACAGCCCTGCATTGTTGGCGATATTCGCTTTTGTGAGGCGGCTGAGTGTATTGATTTAGGAGGAGCAACGTGAAACCCAACTGGCTCTCAAGTTATCGTCTTCTCCGGTTTTGACGAAAGTTTATGGAGCGCTAATATTTTGACTTGAACTTTTCCTTGCCAAATGATTCCCATTGTTGCGCAATGTTCATGGAAGTTTAATACGTGAGGGTTAGCTCTTAGATAAACCGGCAAATATGACAAGGTAGCAACGACTTCGTTTCAAGAATTATAACTGATCAAGAGAAAAAACGTACAGAATGAAGTTGACACGAAAAACTAAGGCCTCTAAAAGGTATTGACACTACCATAAAGAAAGTGGCTCTTTACTGCAATTCTCCTTTCTCCTTTTTGTTATTTGATGACCTTTCTCAATAAAAACAAGTCTACACTCAATTCCCATATCTCGAATAATTATTTTGTTATTTTGTCAAATTATAGCCATTTCCTAAAAATATAAATCTGCACGTAAGACAACTTATGAAAGAAAACGTAATTTGCGTTTCCGAAATCTACCTTGTAATTTTGATTTCCCTGTTTTGATTCACGCGAACTGATTGTCTTAAGTTATTGCAAATAAACGAGAACCTCTCTGTATTCAAGCAGCATTGACAAAGATGTGCCAAAGAAATTTTCAGCTCATAGACAATAAAAACAAGTATTGAATAACCAGACAATAACTGCAATGAAAAACAAAAAATAGAAGTCGCTGTTAATCTTTGGAAAGGGACACACACATTCCTCACTTTGATAAATGTAAAACTAATAATATGAGCAAGGTACTTTAGAGCGCAAGGTTGAAAGCTTTCGATGGTCATAGAAGTAAAATTTCTGTTCTGACCGGTACCAATGACAGGTAAAGTATAAAAGAAATTTAATTTACCAGTTGAATACAAGATTAACTAGAACTATACTGGACTGACGTGAGTCTGATCTATAGTGTTCTTGAAATGTACTTGTTGACAGCAAAAAGGCACTGAAATGGACCACCTGTTTGAGAAAGGGAAGCTGTCAAGTGAGACTAATTTTCTGACGTTCCTTGCTTTACAAGAAGTTATTTTTGTCGACGGCGTTGTGCCAGAGGAGTAGCGAACACAATGGTAAATTGTTGTGAAACACAAGGAGTTGAAAAGAAGCTTTGGCCAGCGCAGAATCGTTAGAAGAAAAAGCAGCTTGAGCAGTGTGCTGAAGTTGTTTGTAGAGTCGTTCTTTTTGTAAGATTTACTTGTTCTCTTCTCGTTGTGCGAGATTCACTGCTTGAATTGCTTTAACAATTAGACCTGAATTGAAAAATGACTTTAAATAAATACCCTTGCGACAATAGCTAGGAATATTGTTTGAAATATAAGCAATTGAAAAGTCTTTTCAACCCAATAGAAAAACACATTCGTTGTATACTGTGTAGAGTATAAAGGGAAAATGTGGAATAATCGCCGGCTGATGTTTACTCGTACGAGAAATCACTTTATAGAAAGGCTATTAAATAGAGCAATTCATTCAATTCTATCTACCTCGTAGATCCTTTGGAGTAATGTCAACTAAAATACGTTGAAACTAGAATCTTGCTACTAACTAGAATACTGTTGCTAAGTGTCAACCTGCTAAGGCTACCCTAAGGCTAACAACACTGAACGATGTCTTTCTAAATTGTACCTGTGGAAACTTAAATGGGCAGTGTTAAAGATTTGTGAGCACGTCAAAAAAAAAAAAAAAAGACCTCCGGCTTCAATACACACAAAAGCTAACGCGAACAAGAAACCAAATCTCAAGCCGTTTCCCCATACGGTTTTAAAATACAGGACAATTGAAAAGCTCTGAATAATAGAATATCGTCTTAGGATCTTCTGATCGAAACACCGCATTTTGAAAATAATAATTTGCGACACGAAAACAGTTCAAGCCCAACGTAACGAAACTTATCTGTTTTAATATGCCTGCCTCTTTCACGGCCACCACGCGGCGCAAAACTAACATTTAACTGAAAATTAATGATAACCAGAACTGGAAATCCCTCTTCGGCATTTTACGACAGGAGCGAACTGAGACAGAATCTTCACAGAGTTTGAAACTGAAGCATTTGAATAACAAATGCGCGAAAGAAACTTCATCAAGTTGCCTTCGTCGATATCTTTACTTTCTTACTTTACAACAAACTTGCTAATGTAAGATATTTTCAATTTCTTTGTTCACAGGTTATTTTGAAGGAATGAATTACTATGAGGAGCTTTTGCACATGGTTAAGCCAGAGAGCGAGAAGGACCGTAATTGTTCAGGTAAGCCAGGAGACGTTAGATGGCGGGAATGACTGCTGATGTATTTTAATTAAAGGGGCGTTTTCGTCAGCAGGTCCCACTTACAATGTCATGGTTTAAATGAATTTTCTGAGCTCACCGAAGACAAGACTGAGCAGTTATTACGAAAGAGCGGAGCTACTCAGTTCTGAATAATGGCAACTTGTGTTAAGACGTACCTCTCTTTACAGCGCTGTAAAAAAGTAATTGAACAACTGTTCTCCGACTAGCAGGTGTGTTACCTTGACAAATACGAAAGGAGCGTTCACTTGCCTTGAAATTACAATTGTTTCTCTGAGAAACGACCACTTTGCTCTCCGGCGAAAAAAATTGCAATAACCGTTGTACTGAGGTTCAATGAAATATCAAAAGGTAACAATAACATTTTTGTGATATTTCACTGCTACCGGGGAAATAAGTAAAGCAAATGAAACCCGATCGCACGTAACCAACAGGCGGTTTCCTTGGATGTCAAACCCTTTCTTCTCCGATCCACGACTGAATGCAAATAAGAACTCCTAACCATCGAATTCGATTGACATACAAATATTTGGAAACAGAGTGGTCATCTAATATTTTAAAAGTAAAAGAAAAAGGCAACATCACAAATCGACGTTTCGAAAATGTTTAAAGAAAAAAATTTATGTCAGATTTGAATGTTGTCTGTCCATTGCAACGGATTTACCAGCGTTGTCGCATTCACCAGGGAAAATACGTCTCTTGGACAGCCCAGGACAATGAATAAATAAGCAATTGTTTCTGTGGTGAAGGCAAAACAACATTTTCGCTTTTGGCGTCATAACAGCTGCTTAAAAATGCATTCTACCTGTTTTCATGGAACGCAGTGACACTCCCAAAAGGTTACGTAGGGTGCCAACTTGACAACGGCTAGGCAGCTCCGAGGGTTAAAAAAAAAAGATAATTATCGAGGAAGAAATAGATCATTTAGAGAGAAAATAGTGAGTTGAGGTACAAAAGCTTTCTAAAAGTTCTCTTCACATGCACTTAAAACGTCAGATATTTGTTACGCGAAGTGTTTTTCTTTTATTTCCCGCTGCTAACCTTGTATTGTACAATCGAAGAAAGTATACCGGACAATGTCTGTATATGAGTAAACTGAATTTAGGACCTTAGGGAAGAACAGTTTATGATACCGCAGCGAAAATGTAAAATATATATTTTACATATATTCATGGTCCTCGAAGGGGGTGAGAAGAAAGAATTCCGTTTTCGAACTTATTTCAGTCAAAGAGTGAATTCTAATGAAGTTTGAAGTTATTAAAGTAATTTTTATGTATAAACTAAGTGCAAAAGTAAGGGTCAAGCGATAAAACCTCTGCAATTTTTGTCATTAAAAGGAAGCACGTTTTTTGCTAAGGTTTCATATTACCCAGAGTCTTCAGTCGGGAGATGAGAAGTTGTAATGAATTTTTGCTGTAATATCGGTACTTGTGAGTTGGTAGCGTAATTGGCTGACGCAGACTGCACCAGAATTTTGTCCAATAGATTTAATTTTTGGCAAGCCATTTTCCACGTGCGAGACGAACTCTTAAGATTCAAGAGTCTTTGAAGGAAATGCAAAGAGTCCTGGATAAGAGCCAAAGAAGCGGAAAAATAGCTACTCTTCAAGAAGAGATTCCTACCTTCAGCTGTGCTGTGGAAGGCGCATGCGATGTTTTCCTTAAAGCTCGAGTTGGGTGGCTTAAAACGGTTTTATAACAAACGCGGACCGTTTCAACTTGGTTTCCTGCCTCAGCTTGCTGCAGGGAAAATGGGAAATCGTGCTAGGGAGATAAGTATCTGATTTAAATATAACTTGTGACATGTGCCATTCATAAATCATTAAGAAACCCACTTTTAAAAGGGCGCACGTTGGAGAACCTTTTAAAACCTACATTTGGCGGTTTCTTCCAAAGAACTTCGGAACTGGAATTTTTTCGTTTGGGAGTTTGGCCTCAATGATTTACAGCTTAAACAAGAGGAAATCGAAAAGACTGCACGCATATTCCTGAGTTCATTTCCAGTTCTCCAAATGCGGCTAAAATGGCCCCAAACTGTCTAAGTCAACATAGCTGCCCAAATTAGCAGCTGACAAAGCAACAGCAGCATTAGAACTTTTAAGCAAAACAAAAGCCTGCTTTCCCAAACAATAAAGACTAGACACATTTGGTTAGTCCCTGCCACACAGAAAAGTCAACTTTCTCTTTAAAACTTATAGGATGTGTGTTTTTCTTTTATGTTTCAACAAGGAACAACTTGAAATTTCAAGAAGGCTTGCCTATGAAATTGACTGCCATTTAGATTTTAGCAGAGACTAAAAGGCGGTCGATACGACAGACACAAGGCCAAACCAAAAAGCTTATTTGCGTTCTCTTTGAATGCCGCATTTAAAATTCGTGTATGCACAAAAATATCGTGGCAGTTTACCAAAAGAAGCTGTGAACAGGAAATTCTCGGCAAACTGTAAATACAGTTTACAGAGTCGAGGTGTAAAGACCACGCGGTCTATTGTTGAGTTCCTTTTGTCCAAAAACACAAAAACAATGGCGGCCTGCTAACTGTAACTACACGCTTCTTTCACGTTTTAGATTACTCTTTAATTTTGTTATGAAAACAAAATGCACTCTTCTTGTCGTGAACAAATATCTCATTCAGCCGGCACAAAAGGAAATTACACTTTCTAAAGCCGGTTATTTTGCCTCGATTAGTGAGCTAATTTCACTGGAATGGTGCAATACCTTTATTGTGGGTTGTGACTCTCCGTGTCTGCAGGGAATGCGCTGATCTGAGGTACGTTACGAGAACATCGTTGTCAAAACTTGGGTACTTTTAAAAATGGGAACTTTACAGCTGATGTCAACAAAGATTAATTCGTCTTCCTTTCATAAAATGCCCTGACTTTTGAAGATAAACTTTCCGATTTACTTTAGTCCTCGTAATGGCTTCCTACGGGCGTATTACGTTTCTCTGTTTCCATTCCAAATGATGGCATTGTTTTTTTTTTCCTTCCCCTGTACATCCTAAGTGGACAAGTGTGAGGAAAAAATCTCGAGCAATTTCTTGCTATGAAAACAAACAACAAAGAGCTCGTCTTAACATTATTGTTGACCTAGAATGGCTTCGCCCCAAGCCAATGAAATCCCTTGCTCGACATCAAATGAGTTTCAAAGTTTGCACAACGCAACTTTATTAATCGAACATTTCCACTTTACAAACATAATACAAGGCTCTGCACGAATCAATGCAAGCATTAAAAAGGGACAACTGAGTACACAGTGCGATTCAACTTTTTTCCTGTTCTGTTCAAAATAGCGCAACTTGTATATATCTGAAGTGTACGATGTTGGGGGAAAACAAATACAAGTAAAGTAGCGTTGTACAACTACAGAATAATCTGAATGGATTAAGCAACATTGAAAACGTTTCTAAAGCAAGTTTTAATTTCGCTGACAAAATGCATTTGGAATTGCTAAAAATATTGTAAATTAGTACAGTGTGGGGAAATTTTACGATTTCTACAAAAAAAAACTCATATATATATGATGTATATAGTTTTTCCTTTTGTAAAAGAATCGACAAACGAGGTAGCGCGCGGGCGAAAATTAAACGCAAGCGTTATTGTCGTCTTGGCAAACTGAGCAATCACCTTATTGGTTACTAGGCGACATTGAGTGAGTTCGTCGCTTTTGACGACCAAGGAACTAATTATGAACACGATGAAAAATAAGCAAGATAAAAGAAAAAGAAAGCAAATACACGAGTATTGAGTTGACAAGGAAAAGGAAACACAATCTACACGCCAAACAGTTCACAAAAACTGGGATTAACACAAGTATTCAAAAAGTAGTCGTTGTCTATCAGCGAAATGGCCCCAAAATTAGAAAAGATTACCAAGGGAGATAAGCCGATTTGACCGTGATGAAGAGCTATATAAATCCATTTAAGTTAATCCGTAGAAACCGATCGACAAGATAAACAAAAGATCGACAACGATTGTATATTTATTCAGTTTGCCATATATAGTGCTATGGCAGCACGTAAACCATTCATATCAGAAACCTGGGGTACTTTTGAGGAAAGATATGCTTGGGGAACAAATTCACGGAACAGAATCAAAGACGTAAATACAACATATAGATGTTGCTGCTTTGATAGATGATTTATTGGCATCAGCTTCATTAAAAATGATTGTAAATAACATTTTCTTTCCATGAAACAACAAATTGAGGTTTGCGATGTCCTTACAATTATAATGTTGACAACTGGAGTATTCTTTCCTTCTTTCGTGTCTCTTTTTATTTGTAGTTGGAACAGTTAAGTCGAAATAACTCAAATACCTGATAATAATAGATAATAACAAAGGAAAAAAACCCAGCAATTTATGATTTAGGTGGCTTATGAATCGCTTTCACGCAGATGCAGTGTTGTTTACTTTTGCGCTGAAATTGGGAAGCGGCCTAGCAAAACAACGTGTGTACGATTACCGTGCACTGAAACTGAGGGGAAAACTGTGGAAAGGAAGACTTACAGAAGTGAGATAATACTACAGTACAGTGTCACATCGTATTCTCAGTCTCGATACAGTTATAGCTTGAGGTGTTAACACGAGGACATGACACGTGTGTAGCTAGTAACGGGTCCCCTCCGTTCTGATCGATAAGCAAACATACGAATATTACAAAAAGGCGAGAACGTTCTCACAGTGAACAGCAATCTGAATTGAACAATCGTTTTCTGCATTAGTATAGACTAAGTTATTTTACAAGCCATTTCTTTGAGTCGGAAGAAGCAGGGGTTTAGACTGAGTACAGTGGAACCTCGATTTAAAGAGCCTCAATTTAATGAAGTCCTCGGTATAACGAACGATATTCTTCGCCCCATCCCTAGTAATTGTAAAATATAAAGAACTAAACGAAACCTCGTTATAGCGAACATATTTTGCCAGTCCCTTCGCCCTTCGTTATATCGAAGTTCCACTGTATAACAAAAAATTCAGGGAAATTTTAAATGTAGATGCAAGCTTATTTAAAATCTGTACTTCATCTTACTTTAAGACACAAGCTTGGTGCCTTCTTTTACATGATTTAACTCAAACGTCAATGAGTTTGCTTTGCCTTTCGAATTCTGTTAAAAATAATCACTCTAGGAGGAAGTATTGAGACAGAAATGGATGCTATGAACGTCATACACCCCTGCTTCTGTCTTGCGTGCCGTCTTAAGCATAACCGCTTTTCCGGCCGCCATAGTTGAAGATAAAAGTCGTCGAACGTTTGTCTCTTAAGAATGAAGTTTTATTTTTATGCAAATAGTTCATGGGTATTGTTCCAGACCTGCAATATGCCTTAATGTATGTGCAAAGCCTTTGTCGCAGTCTATGCTATTTGTAAAGAATTATGTTTTGTACAGTCCACTCAAAGCTCTCACGAAGATCAACGCGGGTCTTCTTTCTTGTAATAGACATTCTGTTGTGAAATGTAACAATGGCAGCCTCAAAACGGTTGTCATGCATGTGTGATGTTTAACATTACCATTCCTCTCTACCTAGTACCGAAAAAAAGGAAAAGAAATAATGTCGATGTCTGACCAGCCACCAGCCGTGGACAACTGCTTCTTAGATCTCGTCATTTCGGTGTTGTTGTTGCTTAGACGGGTCCTCGTAAAAGTTAGAGTTCAATGGACCTAGATCTGGAGACCACATTTCACATATTGTGAACTCGACCTCTTTAGTAATTACTTAACTGAACGAAGCTAGCCCTAAAATAGTGCGAAAAATATTGACAAAACAGTGGCCTTCCTACATGGAGAAAAGCGCCTCGCGTGGGTGTTATCGTCCCGTTCGCGCTTTCCCTTTTGGAAATTATTGTCTTTTTTTCTTTCTTCCTTTTTTTGTTTTTGTTCTTTACCACATTCCCAATAAAGTTTATTAGAAGATTCACGGTATGATAAGAAAATCATCTCTAAGTGCAGTTTTTTTTCTTAAAAAAAAAAGTTTAAAGACTAATAAAAAGTTTAGTAGGGAAATCCAGCATTCAGGCTATGTAGATGAGATAAAGTCCGGGATAAAAAATTAGAAAATGCAAGATAAAAGGTATGCAAAGACAGGAAATGTGAGTAGTATAATTAAATTACATTATAAAATGTTTTATGGGCTGCTGTTTTCGGGAAATGCTTTTTTAAAGTGAGTTTCTTAAATCATAACGTGAGCCTATTTCTGTTTAGAGAATGGTAATCCGTTTCAAGTTTGACAAGCAGTCACAGTAAATGTTCTTTATCCATCTGCTTGTGGTTCGTCAATTGAACAAATTATATTATAGTATACCTGGGATATCGTGACCATTCTCGACAGAAGGCGTAAGTAAACTTTCAAAAGATAGTGGTACAAGTTCAGTTGAGGCCTTACACTACTGTAAAATGATATTAAAATCGTTTAAAAAATCCAAGCTTTTGCCGATCTACGGCATCATCAGGAATAAGAAAAAATATTCCGCGTAAGGCTTTTTCTTTTTTCTTTTCTTTTCCTTTTCTTTTCTTATCCCTGATGATGCCGTAGATCGGCGAAAGCTTGGATTTTTTAAACGATTTTAACATCATTTTACAGTAGTGTAAGGCCTCAATTGAACTTTTACCACTTTCATTTAAAATGCTACCGAAGGACAACATTCAACGATTATTTCAAAAGATAGTTGATGAAACGCCCCTATAAACAATTAAATGATGCTTCTAAACTGTGGACATCTTGCTATTACAGATAACCTGTTACGTGCAGGATGTTAAAGGTCTTTTCCTTCGACTATCTCATGTTCATTTTAATTGTAATGGACTTTCCTCTTTTTTTTTTTTTTTTTTTTTAAAAAAAAGTTCAAACTAAGGCAATAAAAGGCAATAAAAGTGTTAGCTTTGGAGAGAAATTAAACGCTCGGAGTAAATTAAATAGCGCTTTTTCGATTGTGGGTGCAAAATTCTTTACATGCTTCGCTGAAAGTACTCCGATTTTGATAAAAAGCTCTTAGTCAAAGATTTGGCTAAAAATCTAAATAACATAACTAAGAATACAACCAACTTCCTTGTCGTAATCTTTACAGAGCCGCTCGAACTGAAAGGCAAGATCTTTGCAATTTAGGTTCAAGCCCCTAAAACTCAACGATAACCTCTGCGTTTTTTCAGAATCAAGCCTATCTAGGTCATAATCAATGTGTTCGCAGTTCAGTATCAGCCCGTTTAGGTTCAAAACGACTTCTGTTGTACTAAGTATACTTTAACCTAGACCAAAGCGCTTGTCGTAAATTTTATCGATCCGCTTTGATTGAAGGGCAAAGACTTTGCAAATTACTTTCAAGTCCCAATAACTAAAAACGAAAAAAATCACCTCTGCGTTTTTCAGAAAAGGCCTATAAAGATCAAGTTCAATGTGTCCGAAGCTACACTCCTGGACAAAAGCCCTTGGGACACACAACAAAATGTCAACTGGTGACGCATTATTTTGAAGTGGGAAGTCCTATTTCAATTTTCTGAGCCCCCATCCACCTCCACCAAAGCACTGTCGGAATAGTGGGTCTACTTTCGATGAATCAACATCAACATTGTGTTGGAGATGGACAGAAATAATAATAATAATAATAATAATAATAATAATAACAACAACAACAACAACAACAATAATATTTTTTATTTAATAATAACAAGAACTTTATTAAAATCTCCTCAGGAAACCTATTTACAAATCTTCACACATTCCACTATCGTAGATTAAAATTTTGATGAAAATAAAAATATCATGAGATCCTAAAATACTATTTCACAAGCTCATGCCATCATCGACTTTCGAAAATTAGTGGACACACGCCCGATTAGCGTTTAAACGGCAGACTTTCATTATTATCATAATATGATAATTTATAATGATGATGATGATGATGATGATGATGATATTAACGTTACGTTAAAAGCCGACGTTTCGGCGTCATCGTGACACCATTCTCAAGGCAAAGTGAATAAATAATGTGAAGATTTGATTTATATACAGTCTCTACGAATTAGCATAATAACAAAGGATGACATTATTTATTCACTTTGCCTTGAGAATGGTGTGACGAAGACGCCGAAACGTCCGCTTTTTACGTTAATATTCGCCTGCTTATGTTTTACGAAATCGTTATTGATCAAGAACAACAACAACAACAACAACAATAATAATAATAATAATAATGATAATAATAATAATAGTAAGACACATATAGCGCTTTACAGATTTAAAAGTTCGCTAAAAATGGACTAAAAAGTTATCAAAACTTTCTAAAATTGACCANAAAACAACAGGTTTGCTTGCGGGGTCATGTATCTAGCTAAAAGATTAAGAAAACATAAATATGACCGGTAATAATGATAATAACAATAACGATAACAATAACGATAACGATAACGATAATCATAATGATAATGATAATGATAATGATGAGGAAATCGTTTTGCGTTGTTTCTTGGCTTTACAGATTTAAAAATTCGCTAAAAATTAACTAAAAAACTTAACA